CCTGTGGAAAGAGTTTTTCTAAATTAAAAATATATTGTCACACTGTACCACCATTCATGAGCAGGAAAACCCTTAAACCTCACCCGTATCAATGTGTCTTATTTTCTCTTTTATTATTTTCTTTTTTTTTTGGGCGACTGCCAGTTGTCGCAGCCAGAATTCCAAAATTTCCCACGAATAGCACGTACGTGGACGGGACGAACTACCAGAGCAGAGTGACCTGTACGTAGACACAGTGAGGTCCAGGTGCATTCTGGAGGGGCCATCCGGCAAGCTCCGAACTTTCTCACCAAATGTGCAAAATGAGAATGAATCTTCCGCTAAAACAGGGAAAGATACAACGCATTTGGTGAGTGGTGCAGCGAGGCCCACTGTCATCCTATGCACCTTTCTCTTTCCATTCTTCTTTTTGTGAGCTCTTTTTTTTTCCCCCTTCTTTTATTTTATTTTTTCTCTTTTTCTTTCTTTCTCCCTTTCTTTTTTCTTTTTTTTCCTTGCTTTTTTCTTTTCCTTTTTAAATTTTTTTTTTTATTTTAGTGTAGTCAGGGTTACCTGTTTTCTTTTTTTTCCTTGCTTTTTTCTTTTCCTTTTTAATTTTCTTTTTTCATTTTAGTGTAGACAGGGTTACCTGACCGAACGTTCGGGGGCCCCCGCCAAATTTTTTTTCGGGGCCTAAAAATAAGTGTTTTTTTCTGAATTTTTTTTGGTGAGTTCTCTATGATGTAACCTACACGCCTATAAATTTTGAAGCCATTCTGCTAAGCCAAAAAAACATTAAAAATCGTCAAAGATGGGGGTGTCAAAACGTGCTCGCCCACTCACTATTTTGTTTTTTTTCACTTTTAACTTTTTGTTTTCACTTTATTTCGGGGCCTAAATAATTTTATTATTTTTTGAAAAAAAATTAATGAGTTATTGATTATGTAAACTACACATCTGTAAATTTTCAGGGCATTTGTCAATGCCAAAAAATAATTAAAAATCGGCGAAGATGGAGGTGTCGAAAAGGTGCTGGCACACTCACTCATTTTAATTCTCTTTTTATTTTTTCTTATTTTTATTATAGTGTTTATTTTCTGTAGTTGATTTTTAATTCAAATTTGGTAAAGAATTTGGATGTAGTGTCCAGGCAAATGTTGTTTAGTTTATTTTTCTCCATAACATAT